GTCTTGGCTGTGTTTTAGTAGATTAGTATTTTGTAAAATACAGTCACATTTCAATTATTATACACTGTATATGTATATAGATCACTATTATTTAGAAGTAAGTTCTTAATCTTATTTTTCTTAATTTATAGGTTTATGCAAAAGTGTTTGTTGTTTTGTTTTGAGTAAAGCTTTAGTATAATATGTAATACAATCATATCAACAAGAAAAATATGTGGGATTGAAACTTTTTTTTTAACATCAGGAGATAAAAGCATAATTTTTTTTTTTTTTTTTTTTTTTAATCAGTGCTTCGGACTAAACTGGTTCGAGCTAAAATTGACCATGTCAACAAAAAGGTACTTGTTAGTTCTACAATGCATCGTACATTTGGAAAATCTCAGTGGCAGCAACTTCGGGAGGTTCTCGTGAGGTGGCGTAACAACTTGTCTATGGTGGAGCCGAGTATGGAATCAGTTTTACAAACTCAGGTGGAACCGTTGGCGACCTTACAAGAAGCTGCACATTAGATGCTTTTTGAATCTGTACTTGGTTGTAATTAAAATGCAATTCCATGGAAAAGTTTGTTTTATATTCTTTGAGAAAGTAATATATTATGATAATATTAAACAAAAATATCATGCAATGCCTTTAAATACATAATTTTAAGGGTGACAGATCATTCTATTACGTTAAAAAGTTTCCTTAAAAAGTGAAAAATGAGACCCAGCAGGATTCTTACACATTACTCAGATTATGGGCAGATGATTTAGCAAAGTCGTGGGATCTAATTCTGCCCGACATCACTAATTCATAATATATCTACTTGCAATTTTAAATGTATAAACTTCATAATACCCTTATCTTTACATTTATCTCAAATGCTGACCACTTAATAATCCATGGTTAGCTTGTTCAGGGACACTGTTTGCTACAAGAACAATACTCTAAATATCCATCATGGGGAGTTACTTAACTTTGTTCGTTTTTAGAATAAGGCAAATCCCACCATTTTAATTACCATATTTCTGAGTTGTAAAAAATATTTTAAAAATTATATTTGTTTTGCATGTTTTTTGTTTTTATCATTCTGTTAATACTACTGCAGTGAAACGATTGTATAAATGATTTTGTGATTAATCATGAATACCTTTGTCATGTCAAAATTGCCAACTACAACAGAACAGCATAGGATGGGTACATATTTTTTATAGAGATATAGGTAAAAACATGAAAACAAGTGACAGAAGTTACAATCTGAAACACTATCGTTCACATGTTGACAAATTTAAACTTATTTATGGCCATTGTAAATGTGCACTATATAAATGTTAAAATTATGAATATATTAATGTAAGCTTTCAAAGCTAAACAAGCAAATGTTTCTACAACTGATAATATTTCGAGTATAATACTTGACCATGAGAATGGCCTAGTGATGCTTCATTCTAGTTTACTGTTCTATTTTTTTATCGTTTTGGTTGCTTAACTCACTGGTGTTGATGGTCAGGAATCTGAGCTTGGTTAACTAATTATAGTACAAAAGCCCACCATACTAGAGAGGACCATACAACAAAATTGGATAATACAAAAATATGGAGTATAAACCATACACGAAGAAAAGATAAAAGAAGTCTTGTATATCCAGCTAACACATAACACACTTCATCAATCTAGTGAAACCTAAATACCCCTCTTGAAATTCAAAAAGTTAGTTGGTTTAAATCTTAGTGGGGGAGACCTGTGACAAGTGAATAGCACACCAGCCTTTTCTGTCAAGAAGACCCAGACTCAAATTCCTGCCACTGCCGCTACAAACACTTCCCTTAAGATGGCAGTCGAAATGAAGGATGTACAACATTTAATAATTAGTATCTGTAACAGCGAGGATGCCCAAAAGATGTAACAATGTATTCTAATCATTATAAATAAGAACATAAGAAAAGTATATGTAATTAGCTATACTCATTACAGGATTGATTTTTAGTTTTGATCAAAGTAGTTAGTTAGTTTGATCAGAAATTACTATGAACCTAATTAATAGAAAAATAAAATGTGTAAGTAAGTAATATAATTTGGTGATTGTATAATGTACAAATCACAACGACGTAGCATAGGATTTGTTGATATGGGTAACCTGTTTTGTGAGCTTATTCTTAGACCATGCTTCGATCATGTGTACCACTAGCAACAAGGTACTCCTATCAACAACAAATAACAATAACAATTCCATACCTGCTAAACCTGTCTTTCAAACAACATAGTTATTATAGTTTTATTTATAGAGTTGCCCTAATATTGAAATACAAAGAGAGTGGTTAGAGTAAAAAACAAGTATTATGAGCACAGTACATGAATTTTTTATTTATGTTTTACAAGTCTTAAAAATAAAGCTTTAAATATGGAAAATTTTGCTGCAACGATATTTACTTTTTTCAGTGACAAGATTACATCATTAATCTTCGGTAAAACCAAACTTGAACGTTTTACTGTGATTTACAAATGAGGCGTCTGATTATATATACTTAGTTTTTTACATTCACAAGTACAAGAATTTTTATACACGATATTACTAAAAACGTAAAATTACTATCGATAAAAAACGTGTTTTCTTGAAATGTTTATAACATTATGTAACTCGTATTGTTCACCCGTTATGAGTTTCCTAACCTTAATGTATAAATAAATAATAGTAAATTAGAGCTTACCCGTTACTTAAACGTTTTTCTTGTCATATCCGTTATCACATTAAATATTTCCTGAACATATTAAAAAAAATCTTTGATGTGGATTATACAGCCCTGAGAATTTAAACTTCATAAAAATTGTTTTGGTTTTAATAACGGATTTCGAAAATAATATTAATTTTTTTCTATCACGTAAAGATTTTTTACAAAATTTCAAGACAATAAAACCATCGCAGGCCTGTGAAATTTGAGGACAAAAATATTGATATATATATATATATGTGTGTTAAAATGCGTTTCTATTGCCCTATTTTCTGAGTATGTCTGATGATGCTCCACCTTCACAACAGTTTTCCCTCATCAAGTACTATACTGTAGTAGCAGAGGTGTTACTAAGTGCGTAAAAGATTCAGGGCACGAGTCCCGTGTGCCAGTGCCTAGCGACGCCTGACTAGTACAAATAATTCTGAGGAGTCTTAGCACATATAAAAATATTACCTCCCAAATAACCTATCATCTGTAAAGTACTCAGGTTAAAGAGTGTTTTTAAGGAACAAAGGTAAGTTTCTTCATTTCCGTTGATTTTTTTAGGTCAGGATGCCTAGTGAGCAGAATGTTTGAGATCCTAATATAAGTGATTACCTTTTCACGTATTAAAATTTTTGAAAGATCTACTGAACCAACAATTATTATGTGTGATGATATATATAAGTATATTGGACATTAAATCTTATCTTATTGCGTAGTTTGTTTCCTAATATAAAAAATAAATCTTTTTGTTTTAATGTAGTATCGAACTGAAAATAAAATAGTTACTGGAGAAATGTGTAGCCCTAAACCTAACGACATATAATTACCGATCACATATTTGCAGCCAACTGTTGGTTCAAAACTAATTAAGACTGCTCATGATATAGTTGATTTCAATTTTTGTTTGTTTTTGAATAACTTGAAGCAACTTACCAAAGGTAAGGTGCGACATTTTGCATCATTAATCCTAATTCTATGTATAAATGCGTTTTACGATGACACCTTGTTGCCGACTAATGCAAAATTTTAAAACTATTATATTTTCATTTTAGTACGTTAAGGGTCTAATTAGGCCTACATTTTCTATTTGGAATGTTTGTTTAGAAGATGTTAGTTGAACAAATAATCCAAAAACTTAAAGAAGCAGAGCTACTAAACATATTAAAAAAATAATTTTACCAATAAACAAAGCATGAAATATTAAGGGTGAAATAGAATCATAATTTTTTACTGATGTTTAAAAAAAGACAAATTTGCTATTGTCATGTGAAGCAGAATGGACAAAATCCTAGTTAACAGTATCTATTTATATGAGGGGAATTCTCTAACAGTGAAATAATAAAAGATAAATATTTTTTGACATTTATCTTGCATCATGACACGGAAATGACTTTGAAAAAATAGATATTTATTTATTAGTAGTATGTTTATATTACAAATTGAGTATTAATGTTTTAATTTGATGATAGCTAAGAAAACCATACATTTCACAGTGGTCAGTAGGAACGTCTTTTCCGAGTATTTATACCGTAAAGACAAAATACAAGAAATTGCGTATATTATCAACATGGATTCGTGGCTCGTGTCCCGCTCCCAATTTTAAAAAAATTGTCTGGGTGTGTTAAATGTGTGACAGCCATATCACTATTCTTTCCGAAAAAGTGGTGGAGGCCTATTAGTTGTTCTTCATCCACTGAGAAATGTAAAATTTATATCTGAACAATAGTTTGTTTATAAACAGTGAATATTTGCAGTTGTAAGAAGAACCCATTAAACAAACAATAAACTGTATTTTTTTTTCACATTTCTGGTTTATTACCAAATATGAATGTGGAATAATAGAAGTATTCCCACCTGGACATTTATTAAAACAAGGAATAATTGGTTATTGCATACATTTTCTAATAGCAGGACATTACAATGTATTTTACTGCCATTAGATTGACTTGCGTTACTCTAGAGGTGTAAAAGAAGATTGTTACTTAGTTTTCTTTTCAGCAGGGGATAGCTCATCAGTTGTGTCGTCAATATTTGTTGGTATCTCACTACCATCAACAGAAGAACCCTCTTCTTCAGTTTCACAAGGCTGACGCTTAATTTCACTGTCACTGAGGTCTTTAAGGGAAAATGATTTCCGTATACCTGCATTACTACTCCCTACTGCTCTGTAAAAGTAACCGTTGAGGCAAGCGGCAAGAAATCGAACCACCAGATTTCCAAGTCGACGACTCCCTCTCCAGTCTTCATTCCAGGAGTACAGAATGACAGCTAGGAATTTTAATTTTAATGTTAAACAACGATACTAAAATTTTAGATTCGATCCCTACGGTAGGTACAGTGTAGATAGCCTATTGTGCAGACTAAGCAATACTAAAGTTTGGGATTCGACACCTACTGTGGTTTCAGCGTAAATAGTCCGTTTCGCAGCTTTGTGCTTTAAAACAAATAAATATATGTTAGGTATTATATAATTCTATATGTCCATAATTAATGTTAAGTTTTATAGGGCCCGGCATGGCCAAGTGGTTAGGGCACTTGACTCGCAATCTGTACCTAACCAAACTAAGTTTTATAGATACTTCTCGTCACGGAATAATTTAAAAGTACTACACGAGATCCATCTCAGACACTTAATTTCATCAGGACTTCAGTTTGACAAGAGATAAGACTTTTTCGTTATTTATGTAACTTGAACGTAATTTCCTTTTTCCGAACTTAATACAAAAAGCAGAACAGTGCACGTTTTGAATCGGCAAATAGGAACGAGTAAGACATATGTCATATGATATCGGTCAGCGTAATGTAACAAATTTTCCGGTCTACTATTGCTAGGTGTTGCGCTTATGATTTGTTAATTAGCTTGTAAATATGATAATCAGTCGTATGTATGAAAATTTCATCAGGTTAAAAGTTAGAATAGCAAAGAATTCCTCACATAGAAATATGTGTAGTATAGAATCATACAAAGTAATTTATTAACTTTCAATTATGTCTAAAAAAAATAAGTGAAACCTCTATAAATGTCTAAGATTTGATTAATAATAAAAAAATATTTAATATTTTACTCTCCTTTAAAGTACAGACCTAGAACATAAACTTCGTTCTAAAAATATTCAAACAACTTTTTCATAATGACACCATTAGGATTGTAACGCAAGATATTTTTTATATTAGGAATGCTTGTAGAGTTGTATTTCAAATTAAAATTCACCCAAAATAATGAAATATAACTTTAGTGTTTATTTCTAACAAGCAGCGATCCTGGTGGAAGAATCAAAATTGTTTCCATATTTCTTTCACTCATACTATATCGTGTGGCCAGGTGGTTAGGGCGCTCGACTCGTAATCTGCGGGTCGCGAGTTCGAATCCCCGTCACACCAAACATGCTTGCCCTTTTAGCCGTGGGGGCGTTATAATATGACGGTCAATCCCACTATTCGTTGGTAAAAGAGTTGGCGGTGGGTGGTGATGACTAGCTGCTTTCCCTTTAGTCTTACACTGATTAATTAGGGACGGCTAGCGCAGATAGCTCTCGTGTAGCTTTGCGCGAAATACATAACAAACAACACTATATCGTTATTGTACCTACCTATGAGTTGCAAGACATGAGCCAACTGGACAGCTGCGATCAGACGTCGAACGACAGTTTTGTCAGTGGTATCCCAAAAACACCAGAAGAGTGTGGCAAAAGCTGAAAATGGTATTAATCGCATTAATTAAAGGAAAATCATGAATAATTTACAAAATCATACGAGGTAAGATATTGTCAATACCTTGAATATTTTTCAACTTAACACTCTAGTATATTAAATTATGGCCTTCTTTTTTGATAAAGTATTGTACTATATAAACTAGTTTACGTTTTTAACCCTAAAGTAACAAAACTTCCAAACACAGTTTTTATGATTCACTAATTGGTCTCCGTGATGTTAGGAAAACACGTAGCTTCACAAAATAAATGAAACATAAAAAATACAAAACCTCATATTCTATGATCGGCCAACATTGTATGACTTCATCAAGACAAAGCTTCCAGCCACACGTCTAAGTCAACTTGCCAGTTCTTCAGCAACGAACAAGTGTAAACTACTGTTGCGACAACGGAAGTCACGTGACGCTGGAAGCATGCGCGCTGGAGTTTCTAGAAGGATCATGACTGTTCCTAGCAACTCTAGTCTTTTCTAGGC